TTTTACCATCTCTTAGCGTTACTTTTTTATATGGTAAATGTGTCTAAAACTTATACTTGGCAAATTTCCTATAAACACTGCTAGAAGTGATCTACCATTATTTTATTGAGAATTTTTATGTCTATGTTCATGAAAAATGAATAATTACATTTCTCACACTGATTTTTCTTTCAATACTCAATAAAAGCAAGATAGTATACAAGGTACAAACAAAAATCCTTTTACTCCAAATCACCAGGCTACATGATCACTAAAGCCCTTTCATTTTTATGAAACCATAATACAGTATGCAAGATCCTCAAAAAGTCAGAAATAGAACCCCCATATGATCCTGCAATCCCATTAATGGGTATATATACAAAGCAAATGAAATCAGTGTGTTGAAGAGACATCTGTATTTTTCCATGTTCATTGTACCACTGTTCACAGGAGCCAAGGTATAAAATTGTCCTAAGTGTCCACCAGTAGATGAAGTGATAAAGGAAATGTGGTACATACACACAATGGAGCACAATTCAGTTACAAAAAAAAAAGAAAATCCCATCATTTGCCACAACATAGATGAAACTAGGAGACATTAAGTGAAATACCAGATACGGAAAGATAAACACTGCATGAACTCACTCATGTGGAATCTAAGAGTTCATTTTATAGAAGTTGAAAGTCAATAGTGGTTACCAGAGACTGGAGCGAGGTAAGGGAGGAGGATGGAGAGAGAATAGTCAACAACTACAAAGTTACGGTTCGATGGGAGGAGGTCTTACTGTTCCATTGCACACACGGTAGGGTGACTACAGATAATGAGAAGGTATCATATATTTAAAAAGCTAGAAGATTTTGAATCTAAAACGACAAGGAAGTGATAAATATTTGGTGTGATGGATATGCTATTACTGATTCTTCTCATTACACATGTATTTGTATGGCAAAACATAACATGTCCCACAATTTTTTTCAATTATCTTTAATTTCTAAAAGACACTCATGTATAATTAATATCCTGAAAAATAGTGAATCAAGAAGTGGGGATCAGCATGGTGTAAATACTGTGATCTCAAATGAATCAAAATATCTTTGAAGATACCCAAGAGATAGTATCTCAAAATGTCAAAACAAAACAAAACAAAATACTGCTAAGAAATATATTAATTTGTATACCTAATTATGGTTTGTGAAAAATGATTTTATATGAAGTGGAAAAATTATTATATATATAACAAAATTAATGTAGGGAGAGAGGTGCTGAAAGAAACTATAATTTTCTATAAGTAATTAAGGTTAAAATAGTAAATACTGCAGACACTAAAATGTGTCTACAGTTAAAATTTAATTATTCATACTTTCTGTTAAATGTATGGTCATTAACTATTTTTTAATCTTATTGAGTTTATTGGTACTTTTTAAGTATACAGTACGGTTATTGGGATCTTGTACCCTTACATGACAGATCTTGGTTCTCATATTTTCCCCATACCCCCATCCTCCCTTCATCCTGGTTATTAACTATTTAAAGCCTAGTAATTTATCCCATTTCATTTTTTTTTGCCAAATTCAAGTGAAATGAATGTTAACACTTTTATTTTTAAATAATATGCATAGTAGTATGACCTCAATGCTATAAAAAGCCCTTCTCCCTCCCCCCAGCTGTCCTCTTAGCCTATGTTACCATTCCTGTTCAGTGGTGACATATCTAAGAAGATATTCAGAAGATAGTAGCAATTTCTCCTGTTCAGTGGTGACATATCTAAGAAGATATTCAGAAGATAGTAGCAATTTCATAGTATTGAATTTTGGGTGAATGTTTTTTCTTCTTGAAAGATTTCGTAGTAATTATTTTTCACATGCAAAAATGAGAGAATTTATTGTTTTAAAAAGAGGAGGAAAAGAAAAACATTATAAACATAGGTGTCAATTTTCTATCAACATGATTCACCATATTTTCCATGATGGCATCCAATAATGATGAAATTAATTTAATTCAGCAACTTTGTATTGTGTTTCTATAATTAGGGAAATGTCTTAGAAAACAACACGACTTCAAATCTTCTGGGAAAACAAAGTACACATTTCAATTAGAACATTTTGAAGAATAATTTTTATTTTCCATTAAAGAAAAATTGGTTCAAATCACAAAGCTTGGCCACATTTCATGCAGAACACAGAGGCAGGGTGAGTCAGAATGACTACTTTCAGTATTAAAAGAATTAATATAAACTTTTAATTTTAAGCTTTTGGTTTTGTAATCTCACTGGTATTCATGCTGTAGCTACACAAGAGAAGATAAAGTATATAGACTACTCTTTTGGGAATGATTGCAGCAGCATTAGGTGTCAGAAGACCTATGTCCAGCAATATTTTATATAGCAGCATTTAAGCAATCACAACAGTAAAATCAAAACACAGTATACACAGATTTTATTCCTTACTCATACTGCTTATTTTATGAAGACTATAGAATGTCACCTTTATCTCTTGGAGATAATAATGTAGACAGAAATTGGCAGCTACATAAAAAGACACACATATTTAATTTAAACAAGGAATTAAAACACTGAGTTCCAAAATTCACACAGAACAATTCTGAATAATATATCAACCTTTTGTATTTGGGGGGAACAAAGGGAATGCATTGATGCTCTTTCCCCAAGCTGTTTTATTCTTTTGAGAAAGCACTGTGATAATTCTGAAATGCATGTAAATTAACAAACCCCTTCTTGCTCTTGAAAACTTAAACTTTTGCGGCTAAGGTAATGTAATAGTTGAACACATAATATAAATCTGATTCATGTAAATAATAGAAATCTAGGTGATTTAAATTCTATGTAAACTTTTTTTTCATAGAGCCACAGAAGTTGCCACTTGTAAAGGTCCATCCTGGAACTGTAATTAGAGACTTTAAAACTCACACACACACACACACACACACACACACACACACACTTGGGTTCTCTTTTCACTTTCTAACCAATAATTCAGCTGTTGTTTCTCTACCTGTAGCCTTCAGACCAGCAACCAAAGAACAAGCTGCCTATGCACATTTTGGAGCTTTGCTCCAAACTGCTGCAATGAAAAGCCTGAGGGTATACCAGAAGTCTGTATGAACCAGCCCTTTCTGTAATGTTGATGTTTCATAAGGTTTGAGGAGCTCTACCGAAAGGAGAGACCTGAGCATGGAACTGTCATAAACTATCCCAGCTCATTCAAAGGCAGTCAGTTTAGAAGTCATTTATCATTTCCAGACTTTTCCTCCATAGAGAAAGATACAAAAGACAAGCAAATTGCCAACAGAGTTTAAACCATACAGGCATCCTCATGTCCACTTTTGTTTCTACAGTGCACCACAACTATGCTTACTGAGACAAGTCGAACTGAGAAATTTATAGCTATTCAGCAATGTTCATGGAAACTTTGGATTTCTACCCCTCTTGTCCACTCTTCAACCTTTATGTGATATATGGATGATAAAACAGGACTCTAGAAAGCCAAAACATGGAAAATAACACATATTCACTTCTGCTTTTTAAATATGGCTTAATTATAATCTGATTTTACTTCAGGAGAAATGTCAAGCTTGACTCTTGGTCCATGCTAGCCCCCTTCAGAAAATGTCTCAAACCTTGCACCCCGTTTATTCTAATCCTTGTCTGCTAGGTAAAAGTCCCTCTGCAGCATCTGAAGCTGTTGGGAACCAGAGAATAAATTCCTAAAGATGATGCTAAACTTCTCTCTCCCTAATCTTGGGCCTCCACATTGAAATCAGTCCCATTAGCTACACCAACATACCAGCAACATTCTCTGCAAAACAAAAAATCACATGCTTTCAGTTTTAAAAACACTTTCTCACAGTCAAAAGCTAAGTGGCCCTGACAAAATGCTGCAAACCAGTATTTGGTTCCTTCCTAACAAGAAGGGAAGATTTCCACTGGAAATCACCCCTCTTCCTATTTCTGCCTTCTAGGATCAGAAATTTATTCCCCAGCAAAAAGATGAGGTTTTTCACCCCAAAGGTGACATCGAAACCTGGAGACATATGATTAGGTCCTTACACATGGTCTCACTATGGCAAATGGAGTTATATTGAAATAGAGACAGAGAAAATTCAGCTGAGGTTATTTCCACCATATACACAAGGTAGACTGCTCAGACATCACCTTGCTGCTCTTGGTACCCTCAGCTGTGGCCTTTACTATCACTGCACACAGAGCAGAGCTTGTAGGTCATTGGAAGCATGTGACAAAGCTGATGGGAGCACATGAATGCTCATGAGCTACACCAACCCCTGCAGGGAAGCAGATTCCCAGGGCCTGCTAATGCTCTACTGATCTCACAGAGTAAATAGATGTGGTTTCTGAGACAGAAGCTGAACGTGCCACACTAAGCCCCAGTCTGGAATTGGAGAGGCTCTCCAAGTAATAGTAAAACACCCTAATACATTACAACATACAAATTAGATATGCTCATCTTCCTAGAAACAGGCCACACCAAAGATGTCTGAAGCAGCCAGGTGCAGTAGTACACCTCTGTAATCCCATTTGCTCTGAGGCTGAGGCAGGAGGATCACAAGTTCGAGACTAGCCTGAGCAACATAGCAAGATCTTGTCTAAAAATAAAAAATAGAAAAGACTGAAGACGTAGTTCAGTGATAGAACATGCCTGAGTTCAATCCCCAGTATAGAAAAAAATGTCCGAAGCATTTTAAATTGTGCTTCGGGTACAACTTTTCCACTTCTGAAAGAGAAAACATTCATGTATGCTGTAAATTAAAATAAGATGAATTACCACTTCATAATGTTTTCTTTCCAAGCCAACAAGTAACTGTGAGAACTTTACGTCATGTACTCTTCTTCCAAATAGTCATAAAATAAATGTCATTAACTAAGCATGTCATTAACATTTAATTGAGAGAGACAGAACATGCAGCATTCTTAATGGCAAAAAAGAATGTGATTCTCTTTTTTTAAAAAATAGCTACTTACAATGCACTTTCAACATAGAAAACATGTGCAAATAACGTAGATGAAAATTTACACATTTTAAATATTACGTTTCCCAAGGAAGTAGATTGGTGCTTTTGCTCAATTCAGTTGATTATGCAACTTATACGCATGTGTTTAATAAAGCTTTTGAAGCAAAAGCATGATGAAGCTACACAGCATATTAATTCTACCCAGTGTAATGTTGTTTCCACACAAACACTTTACAACTTGTATCCATGGCCACATATGGAAAGGAGGCAGATGCTTAGGTTAATCTGTCCTCTCCTGCACAGAAGCAGCCTGATCTTGGGTTTCAGGTAATAGAGTGGAATTATCACAGCACTGCCTCAGAGATACTGAGAGAACTGAGAAAAGACAGTAATCTGCAGCCTCAGGATTGAAAGGTGAGTCACGAGAAGTCTGAGGCTGTGCATGACGCATGCAATTCAGCCAGCATCTCTTCCTTCCTCTCTAACTCATTGAATCCGGACCAAAGGAAGACTCTAACTATGGTAAACATTAGAAGGAGGAATTCTAGAGAGAAGTAAGTTGAAATTTAAAAAAAAGAAAAAGCACAAGAGATTGGCACCCTGGAGGGGCCAGGAAATGATTGAGCTACTCTCAATGTATAAAATAGAGCAATTTCATTAAAAGCAAATTTTTCCTAAAACATCCAGAAAGTTGCCTCACACATTTACACGTTCCTGAGCACATACATGGTGAAGACAGCACAGAGCGCATCTATAGAGAGGTCTCCTGGAGAAGCAGAACAAGAAGGTGTTTCTGACCATGTCACTGTATTCATTGGTGGGGAACTGGACTTACTGCTCCCAAGTGGGAAACAGCAAGCATCAGCTATTTAAGTGTTCTGGAGCCCATCTCCCAGTGTGAAAGCAAAAATTCTAGGAAAAAAAAGTAACAGCTGCCTTGGAGCACCAAAGCAGCCAAAGCTGAAGAGACAGACAGCATCAATTTTCTTTGAAGCACACTGAAAAGCCTGGCTCTCCAGCGGCCTGAGATCAAAGGCACACACAACTTTTCTCCTTCACCCTGGATGCTGGAAGAAAAGGTATGTTACTGGAAGACCTCCTCACTCAGTCAGGCAAGGGAGAGTGCTTTCCAACTGGGCATGGTGAACTACATAGTAGGGAAAAATCCACTTTGGAAGCAGGAGCCTGAGTGCCCCACTGGCACATCTCAGGGCAAGTGATCTGCCATAGATCACAGATCTAGTACACCTCACTCAGAACATGTCACATAGGTTTAGCTCATTGAAGAAAGTAAGCTATTGTTAATATCAAAACTGATTTCAGAAGTAGACTCAACCTAAACTCTAAATAGAATTTTGCATGGCAACATGCAGAAGGGATATCCTATGTAACTATAAAATACAGCAGTTTGCATCTATGTTTAGCTAACTTAGGGGTTTGCGAGTGCCACTGGTCATCTCTGTGCTATTCCTCTAGCCTCTGCTAGGCCAGCAGCATCTGGGCAGGGCTGAGGCAATAAACATGGCCAATGTGGCATTCCAAAGCAGAGTGCAGCCTGACTGCTAGAAAAGGGTAGCATTACCCACTGTATTTTTAATACTTCCATTTATGTGCCTGTAAAACAGAAGACAACATGGAAATAAAATCATCCTGCTTGTGCATGCAAGTCCAACCACAGCCAAGAGGCATGTCTTTGTAACACCATGAATTCATGTACAAAAAAATTGTTCCAGCATCTGCGTAGTGGCTTCAAATCGCACAAATCATGAGGTAACATGTTCAAAATGCAATCTTTCTGCTCCTATATTTCCACAAAGTACAAAATATTTCCATGCAAAGGACTTACAATATTCTTTAAAATACTCATATACACTCATACAATATCTCTTTCCCTAGGAACAAACATGAAAACTCATAATCTCTCATTGTTCTAGCAGTTCTCTCCTATTCTGCCCAGACCATTAAACACTATTCACTTGGGTATAGTTACTGGAAATAAATAGGTGAGCCAGAAAAGTTAACATGCCACAGGCTTACACTGAATTTGTTTTTAACTAAACTTTGATGTTTTATACGGAGTCCTGATCTGGCACTGGTACACATTAGGCAAAGTCCCTTTTATAAAAACAAAGTGCTCTTGCTTTTGTCTTCTGCTAAATTATATTAGTCTTACAGTCTGACAATAGCTCTCCTAATATAGGGCAATTTAATTTTTCTGTACCATTTTTTGTTGTAAACATAAATATGAAAATTACATTTACAACTCAAGTATGATAGCTTTAACCCCAAACAAACATTACCAGAGGGAATATTTGGGGAAACATGCATTGAAGCATTGCTACAAATTTAATTAATTGTACAAGGTAGAATATTGCTAGATATATTCTTTCACAAGAGAGCAACCATTTAGCATGCTTCATCTATATGGTTTGAAACGCAACCACTGGATTCCATCCCATCTTTGTCTCCATAGAAATCACTGTGTACACATCATCCTCATGACTTTTTAAAACTCTCCGTATGGTTGCGTAGTTGGTTCCACCTAAGGTGTACCTAATACCTGGGCCAGGTACGTACATAAGACACCCAGTTTTATTCTCAGAAGCATCCACATCTTCTGTGGTCAGAGCAGTTGTTCTCGAGGTCTTCCCCTGGTTCCACTTAGTTACCTCTAAAAATCCAAATTTACAGGGGAGTTTGTAATGGATGGAGTCACTGCCGCAATCTTGTGCTGATCTCCTGAGATGAACTCGGTGAGTCTACATGTCACAGAGGGACATCGTGTGACTTCCCAAGCTCTGTACACTATTTACAAGTGGGAGTGGAGGCCCCCTGTGTACACAGACAGCAGAAGGAAGATGCATCTCCGCATACATGGTGAGTAAAATTAATACTCTGCATTCAAGACTGTATCCTAAAACACAGCTTATAATATTGCCTCTTCTAACGTTGAGGAATTAAAACACAAATTTTTTTCTAGATAAATCTGACTCAAAATGTATACTGCAAATATTCCTCACCATATTTAAGTGGTTGTTTCTTATTCTATAAAAGAATTAAACATATCTATAAAATTCTATTGCAGTTTCACTCCTCAAGAGGAATAAAATTATATGGCATTTTTTTTAGTGTCTGATTTATAAGTAAGCGATAAAATAAAACAACAGTAATCTTCATGGACCTAGGAATTTCCTAAATGGACCAGAGTTCCCTGTAACATAAGTGGAATGTACCTAAAATAATATAAATTGTTACAGGGGTGACAAGTTGTAATATGGCTCAGTAGCACATTGAATCTTCTCTTATGAGCCACATGCGGGAAGTGGACAGGCAAACTCTGTGTGTCTTCCTCACACATGAGTGCAGTTGGTTGACGGTGGGGTGTCTATCCGACTTTTGTTTTCTTTGTTCTCATTGAGAGATGATTCACTTCTAATATGACACTTGAACACTTGCTTATAGGCCTTCCTGAAATTTTCAGAGAGAAATGCATATATGATAGGATTCACCGAGGAATTGCTGTAGGCCAGGCAGTGGGCAGTGATCCTGAAGAAGAAGGAAGCCGGGGTCAGCGGGAAGGCCCCAAATTCAGCCCAGAGATGGATAATGTGGTGTGGCAGCCACGATATCCCGAATACCACAACCACCACCAGGACCGTCTGCGCTGTCTGGAGGAAGAGGGAAAGAGGGGAAGGAAAAAAGGCAGGGGTGAAGAGGAAGAAAAGGAAATGCACGGACTGCAACAGCAAAAGAATCGAGCATGCTAAAACCTACGGTAAGTTAATTTCATATTTATTTTCCTGGGATCAAACAAAATACTAAAAGATGCTAACTTTCACTTCATATGGTATTTCCATCTGTAAAAGTTCTTCAAGATGCACCATTACCTTCCCCAGACACAATTCCATGGCATGTATGAAGTACGTGTGCAATGTATGAAGCATACTGTAGAACAGTGATGGCAAACCCTTCAGAGACAAGTGCCCACAAGCCTAAAGCCCACTTATGAATGCAAAGTGCCAACACTGCAATTAAACCTGAATACTGAGGTTTTAGTTTAGGGGGAAAAAAAACTTATGCATTAACATCTTTTGCCTTAAAAGCAAAACAAATAATGTGTGCCACAGGTTCACCTCCACTTCACTAGATTATGGGAACAGAAGTGTACAAATGTTAAAGCCCTTAACTTTTAAACCAGAAAAACTCTTCCAGTGTGCACACACTAAGCTGTATCATCTGCGTGGTGGCTCAGATGAGCATTGCCTCCCAATACTTATTTCCATGGACAAGTCTGAAGATGTTTACTTCTCCTCATTAAACTTCAGTAAATCAAAGACCACATTGTTAATGAACTGAGGGATTCCAGTTACAGCCTATGGACCACTTGACCAATCTTCTTCCTGGCTTTTGTCTTAACACTTCCCATACTGCTCCTAAATCAGAAGTACTTGGAAACCTGAGGCAGGATCCAAGTGTTACCTTTGCAATTCCTCCTGAGCAAGGAGGAAGTTGTCCCTGTTTAACGACCTCAGTACAAGAGGATATGAGCTTCCTTTGCTCAAGCCCTGTGTGTTGTTTACCTGGACATGGACCCCAATTGGCCACAAACCCAGACAACTGGGACTGAGCCTCTGAAGGACTTCCCTGTTCAGTACCTGTTGAAATGCCACAGGTAGACAGATAATTGTGATTACTGAGATGATCTCTATGGATTCAAACAGAAGACAATAGTATAGCTTATTTAAATGCCTTAATTAAAGGAGTCTAGTATTTCTGAGCTATAAAACACAGAGCAACAGTGGGCTCCTTCCTTAAAGAGATGCATCTCCAGAACCATGCTGGGTCTTGCTGGTCACAGCAGAATCCATGCAGTTAGCCTGTAATCCAACACTGGCTGAGCACTGGCTACATGCACTACATTGCTCAGTCCCCTCCACAGCCCTATGAAGCAAACCCTAGGGGAACCCATGGGTTGTAAACAGGGAAACTAGATTCAGAGGAATTAATACAGCTTCCTGGTTCTCCACAGTAGAATTCAAAGTGAAGGCCAGGTCTGTGTGCTCCCAAATCCACATGTATAAATGCTGAGAGTTTGAGAGAGAGAGGCTCACAAACCCACTTGGGCACCATCAACCATATCTCCCTCTCTGCTATCCAGGCTCCTTTTCAAGCCAAGCTTCTGGTGGATAAAGACCCTCATAAGAGAATACTTGTGTCAATTCTCCAACTTAATAAGACAAGGAAGCTCCAGCTTCACCCATGTGTGACCACATCCTTCCCCAGCTCACTCTGCACAACAAGGAACACTAAGGCTTGACAGGCAGGCACATACTTACATCTCCTTGTCCCGGGGCTGGAAATCAAGTGACCTCTTGCTTTCCCTCAGACACAGTCCAAGTTGTCGCACTTTAGAATGAGCTTTAACACTTGCAGTAGAAAGTGGAAGTTTGAGCTGATAACATTACTGCCTCCTGGCACTGCTGCCTACTTCACAGACCTGGAAGGCACGAGCCCCTGATGTTGTAGTCAGGGCACTGACAGGCATCACAAGCTTGACCTGACTAATGGCTGTCAGTCTCTTGAAATCTGACCAAAATGTATGAACAGGAAGAAAAGCCAGCGGGTTTTTGAAAGAAGAAAGATGAAAACCTATAGAGGCTTACTTTTCTTATACTGAAAGAATAAAACACAGGAAAATGACTTCTTGACTAACAAGTCATTGTTAAAGCTGGACATGACTAAGACATCACAGTTAAATCACACCTATAATCCCAGAATTCTGGGTGCTGGGGCAGAAGGATCGCCAAGTTCAAGCCCAGACTGGGAAATGTAGCAATTTAGCAAGATCATATCTCAAAATAAAAAGCAAAGCATAGAGAGAGTAACTGGGGATGTAGCTTAGTAAGGAGGCTTAGGTTCAATCCTCAATACCAAAAATTATAAAAATCACTAATAAGACACAAATCCTTCCATTTAAAACACAAAAACCTCATAATTTGCAGGACTACCATCAGCCAAAGAGGGAGCAGAGAGAGAGATCACAGCTTCACTCCTCCATGAGGGGCACATTCCTGAATGGCAAGGGGGTTTTCTTACCATTATTTCTCATGAGTGGGGATCCTACTCTTACTGAAAATGATATCGAGGATTTAATGTGTGAGATACTAACCTTGTCAGGACTGATGCTAGGTGCTAAGTAAAACCTGAGTAGACATTTATCAGAAGTGTAGGTTGGAAGCCAGGACCAGTGCCCAGGCAGAAATGGCAGAGGAGAAGGTTAGATTTCAGGTCAAGGCCAGCAGATGCCAGCAGTTAGGAGTCATAGGATATGGCAGCTAACTTTCTATCTACAGGCACCAAGGGCTGTGCAAGATCACGGAACTGAAAGCAAGTCTGGGCCATGCACTGGCTGCCCAACCTTGTGCTCCATTTGTAAAGAGAAAAAAATAGGGAAATGAATCCCAGACTGGACCTCATCCGTGTAACCGCTAAAACAACTGAGCTGTAAAAACCTGTTGACAGGTGTTACAAGGTAAAAGCTTACATATTAAAGCCACTTAACGCATGACACACAAAGCAAACAGGTAATTTGCTCACCTATATTAAAGGAGTGTTTGCTACTGATCCATTTATCCATTTAGTGTGTGAGAAATGTCATTCTCAGATGATTTAATCAAACAATCTAGATACGATTATGCCTACAAATAAAACAGAAAATCTCCCCTTTTCTTTTGAAGACAATGACACTCTATCTCCATTTCACAAAATAATCACCCAAACGACATTACATTTCACTGCTTCTTGTAGGATATGTTTACTAAGCACAAATGTGTTCAGACTTCAGCAACTGATTGATACGATCCATATCTTATCAAAACCCATAGGACAAATGAATAGCTACCTGCCTCGAGTATGGAATATTTTCTATGGAAGTGTTTGTTCCTCTAAGTGTTTATAATTCATTCAAAATTTGGACAAGAAATGTGGGCAAGAGTCATTCTTTTTCTTGGTCTACCAGTAGCTTTGAATTGTGACTGGAGTATAATTTATAAGATAAATACTGGGATATAATACTAAATAAGTATTTATATAAACCATTATTTACCTAAGATCACTCCTAAGAGTTTAATAGAGAGCCTGTCAGGGCCAACTTTGCTCTCAGCTGAGGTTTCCTGTCCTCTGCACTTCTCATCCAAGGTCTTAGCCCACTGGAATTTGTATTCTCTTCCCTGGCTTACAAATCAGCACCCTGGACACAGGCCTTGGGCTGAGGCTACTTCAAATGTGGCAGCATCGGGAGCCACATACGTGCATGGCTGGACATAGCAAATGAGTTTGATCTTTCTTCGCTTGCAACAAATGCTGGCACAACTGAGAAGATGGGAGACAGAGCAGGAAGTTCCATGCTAGTAGAAAAAAGCCTTCTTGATTCACCATTCCACCATGTCCAACTCAGAACATACAATGTCTAGAATGCACTAGCTCAGAGTTAAAGATGTGGTCAGAATGTATACTAATCCTAACTCTGGGCTTCTGGGAGGTCAGTATGCCCATCACTACCCAGTACAGAGCTCTGGGTCCCATCCCATTGCTGATGGATTTGGATATTTACCTGGAAACCTGCCTTTTTAATAAGTTCAGGAAGGCATTTGGAGAATCACTCACAAATTAGACAAAATCCACAACACAAGTGAAATTACTTCACCCACCGCAGCTTAAAGAGGATCAAAGAGATGTTTTGTTCAATCTCCAAGGCTGAAGCAGCCCCTTGTCAGAAGAAGCAAGAAAATCTGCTTCCCTTCTTTCCCTCTGAAATGGGAATGTAACACAGAGACTCCCCTATGAGAAAATGTTCTCATTTCTTAGAGGATCATTTGCTCCTACAGGAGCTGAAGTTATATAGGTGGAACATGAACAATTAACCTCTTGTGTCTATTTATTCCAATACTACCTGCTGATAGAGGAAAAAGTCATTAAAGTTGTATATTAATATTTACTACACTTGAGATTTGATTCTTTATTAGCAAGGTTTCTCTTTGTCCCTTAAACTGAGAGTATCTAAAAAATATTAGGCTCTCTTCTGATCATGGAATGCTCTTTGCAGGCCATTTGAGACATCTTCCCTTTTCCTCCCATTTGAGATATCTATCCTTTCTTCAAAGAGTCTCACTCACAATGCGCCTTGTGAAAATTGGCTGGGAATAAAAGGGTGACTAAAAGATGAGAATGATGAAAAGCACTGAACAATTTGTATAAATGACAGCCAAAGAGCTATAGAATTATTTCAAATCAGATAAATAAAAAGTAAAAACCAGCCAAAAAGCAGCTAGTGATAAACCTAATGGTTCATCCAACATGGAGACAGTCCTTGATCCAGATCATCTCCTCAAAACATCCATCTAGCTCACTACGCATCCTATTCTGAAGCCTTCCACGCATTACACAAGAATTTATTTTAAAACCCCATGAGCTTCATGCCAAAAACACTTTTTTGTGTCTACTAAATCTTACATCAAAACATTGAATCATTTATAAGGCTCTATCCTACTCTTTCTGGATAGAAATCATATCCTCTTTTGCATTTTCTTCCAAACACATAGGATAACTGTTCAGCACGTTTATCATGGAAGGGTGAACTCTCTGTTTCACAAGAGTCATAAATCTCACCTGATGTTGACATGGTATGAATGTTAGTGTTCTCCCCTTAAAATCACACATTGACACCTAATTATCATGTTAATGGGATTAAGAGATGGGGCCATTGGAGGGTGATTAGGTCATGGCATAGAATCTTCATGAATGGGATTAATGCCTCTGCAAAAAAGCTCAAGAGAGCTGCCTGCCTCTTCCTCCTTGTAAGGACACAAGGAGAAGGCAGCATCTATGAGCCAGGATAGATCTCAAGTCTGCTCACACTTGATCTTGGAATTCCAGCCTCAAGAACCACAGAAGATAAATTCCCATTGTTTATGAGCCACCCCGTACATTATGGCAGTCTGAACAAACAATGACAGTGCAGAGAAAGGAAACTCTACTTAGCCCTGGAGAAGAAAGCCAAGAAACAAAGTAAAAAAGAGCAAACTATCAAAATGTATATCCTATCAGCCTATTATCCACCAAAGCCTATATCCCATCAGCCCACTCCCTACCAAAGCCTCTAGGACATCGACCCACTAGCACCACACATTGAGATTGTGGGCAACAATGCCTGGGCAAAGATCTGGGGGCAAAGCTCACAACAGATCAGCATCCATCTTGTGGGAACTGACCGTCTATTCTGCTTTGTTTACTGCACCTCTCTTTCCTTTTTCTTTCCTCACTCCTCTACCCCTTCTCCCTTCTCATTTCCTCTTTTCTCTCTTTGCATTCCCTTTTCACACCCCTCCCTTGCATCGCTCTTATCTCTTTCTTAGACACACCTGTGCCCTACCACGACCACATTTATTTGTCTTATGTAAACAAGAAGGCAATTAAATATAACAAAAGAGAGCTAACACCTGTTCAGTAGTGACTAAGGGCCAGAGACTGAGAAAATAAGGTAAATTTTGTTCTCTCTTTCAAATGCTAATACCTTCTTTCTACAGTAAGAATGAACAAAAGATAGTTTTATATAAATATATATTTCACACACATATTCACATATTCAAAGCAATGGCTAAATTACTAAATTTACATTTTTATTGTAAAATGAAATAGAAGCTTTTCTAATCATTACTTATAAAATTTATTTCTTTTCTTTTAACCATTTTGCTATCCTCCAGAAGCTTTCTAACATTTTTCAAATATAGAGAATAAAACTAACCATAGACACAAATGCAATTTTTTTAAATCTTATTGCAGTCTTTCAGTAAATATAAAATCTTTTAAATCAACAATAAACATTTAGCCATGGTGTCATCTCTGTTAAAATCCAGCGAGCCTGCTCCCTCCCAAAGGAAATCAGGCTTTCCCTCCCAGCTGCCTGAAATGCTCAGCATTGAACAGTGCTTTGAGATTCAGGTATTTCTCTTTTACTACGGTGTTGGCTTCCAAATTCAGCCAGTTCCTTTTAGAATCCTGTGGGTTGGCTCAGTCCTACACAGGACAACTACTCTATAAACAATTGTCCACAAGAAATTGTAAACAATCCTTAATTATTCTTAATGACTCATTTTCTTAGAAGGGAAAAACGTGGTTCAAGAGGCTTTCCAATGGGCTGGAAAAAATGCAAAAGCTACAGCATAACTTAAGTGCCTCATTGAGAACGGGAGGAGACCAGCTTTGGGCCTTTATTCCATTCACATAACTCAACAGCTAACTTTGTCCGATGTCCAGAAGAGGAGCCTATAAACTTAAAATTGAGCTTTTGAACCACTTTTCTGCCCTTGGTTATCAACTCCAGAAAGAGGCAGGTTTTAGCCACGTTGTGGTTTATAAACAGGGGAGCCAGGAAGAATTATCTTTTACTTGAGTAGAATTTTTTAGAGTAAATGTGATTAAATTATAATTTCTGCAAATTCTATCTGTCATTGATCTTAATTACTTAGAGGGAAAAACAAGGTATTTTAAGATATTGTTAGTAAAGTTTATAGGGCAAAAACTTAGTTATGATCTTTTCCTCCCTCATCAGATTATCTAATAATTTCATTCCACTGTCTAAAATCAGAAATTATATAGATCTTATATGAATATGACTTCAATTAATCCTGACTTGTAAAATAGTTGTTTTCTCAATATGTAAAAGGTAATGAATATCTGACAGTTGTATGCTTTAGTACTACTGGGGGGGGCTGCTGAAATTGGGCATCACTGGATGATAAAGAGGATTAAAGGTGATTAGCTTCCCCTACAGTCTTTCATCGTGTTCCCTGTAGGCCAGTTAGCATATGGATCAGGAGAACAGCCAAGAACAGTGAGGGGCTCTTGAGTATTTAGGGAGTAATTATACCAATGCATTCTCAATTGGACTAAACCAGGTCTTCTGGAATCACATGAGCGATGCTAAAAATGAAGTAAGATGACTATATTCCCATGCAAATAACATCAGTACTTTGTAGAATCCAAAGTCTGCCTTTCCTTGCTCCCCATTTCCTCCTTAAGTTTGAATGCATGCTGTCCTCCCCAAGCCCCACATTCACTCCTCTCCAACTTAGCCATAATAACTCCTGCAAATATCTGTCCCAAGGAACTAAGATTTTACAGGCTTCAGGAAGATGTAAAGATAATTTAAAACAAAAATAAACTAAGCTCTCAAAAAGGATAGACACAACATTTTGTTTGCGAATATTACCTTTTTCTTTGATGTTTCTGACTTCTTGGACATGTTCTTCAATTTTTTATGCAAATGATTAAGAACCTGCAAAACACACCAATGAAATTTCAGTTTGCCTCACACAACACATTGCCAGTTTTGCCCTGAAAATTACTGACATGCTGAAATAGTAACATTACTGTATAATCAGTAAAATGAGAATGCATAGTACATGATAAAGTAAGAGAGTCTAAATTGCTTTTCTAGCCTTTAAAGAAATTCCCCTGGGCCCCTCTTGCATGCTATTGATCTATCTTCTACCTCAGTTTCCTCCAGGAGTCTAGGTGTCAACAATTACCTGTTCGCTGCTATGTGTCAGGTGCAATATCAAATAGTAGATAGATTGAAACTTAGAGGCCAGCACTCTGGGAGTTTGCTTTCCAATGGGGAAAGGTAGGTGAACAAATTAAGGTAAATGGATCAGATATTTCTTCACTGTGGTCAAGCCCAAACATGCCAAGATTTGCATACACATATTCTTTTTGTGTTCCTTTTATGAGCTCTTGCCACTTGAAATCTCCATAAAGCAAATTACTCCCCATCAGGCCTCCCTTCGTTTGTTATTCAAATCCTACTCGCTGTGATGTGATTTTAGACAACTCACTTTTTGAGAATTCAGCATCTCTGAAGCTTTATAGAACATTTTCCAGGGCTTTACAATCAGTGACCCCGTCAGGGAGTCTCCTTGAGATACACTGACTTCATTATGTTCAGAAACCATTTTGGTTTCTCTTGCCAGTGTAATATTCTGGAGGAATGATATAAAATTATTTGGTTATGTAAAAGAATTTCCAGCCTAGACTTGACTGATGGTGCTAACCCTGCAGGACTGGCACCAGAGTTCATTTTTCTCTACCTTCTACGACAGGACCTGGAGCCAATTCAGAATCTAGATGACTAAGGGCTTTAGCTTGGCTGTGGATTTCTGGGGAGTCTCTTGGAGAACTGGAGGTTCACTCCAGCCACTTGTTTCCCTCCAGCACAACACAGAAATAATTTAATTGAATTGTCCTCCCTGCAGAAGCCTGATCCCTTTGACTAGAAGCAGCACTTATGGAACAGTCAGTCATGTCATAATTGAGGAGCCACAGACTTACTTACCCACTCTCCAAACCCTATGAAGCTTCAGCAGCTGTCATCAGAGTATGGATTTCTGACCTCAGATCCTCTGCCCTATTAAAACACTCGTCATTTCCCGAAATGCGTTAACATCATCTATAGTAAACCCAGTCTGGGAACATTTGGGATAACCAATTCATTGACAGTGGGTTACTGTGTCACCAACAGAAACTGAGGTCCAAAAGTTGGATGTAAAGGGAAGAGACGAGAGGGGCCTTTGGACAGCTACAAGTGAGAAAATCTTAAAAGTGAGAAACAGGGGCTAGAGGCAGGGCTCTGCCCAAGAAGACAGGGCTTTCCAGCAGACTGGCAGCAGCCTGCCCCACAAGTGAGACCACAAGGTGAATGAGCACTTAGGGGAAGAGACAGGTGTGTCTAGAGGAGAGGCTGTACACAAAATCAGTCAGGGATACCTCACATTGGTATGGGGCGAGGGGTCCACAGCCACCATCAACAAAGTAAATTGGGTCATCGCTCAGCAACTTCCAAGCACCTGGGAATACTGAATGTTTTCTTCATCTTCAAATGGTTAATGCAGAACACGCTTAATCATATTTTTCTGAGCCCCATTTCTTTTCAATATCTCGTACGATAAACACGATAATGCAGTAATACACAGGAGAAAGAACATGTTTATCATGATACTTTATGGCTCCATCTCTCTAATGGTGATGGAATGGTGGCGTTTTCCCACTATTCTATACATTTCCAAGTGTTTGGGGGAAGATGCTTACTCAAACCCATGCCAAGGTCATGCTGGGCACATCCTGTGAAGGAATGCAGTGGGTGGGCACATCAGGAGTTTAGTAAGCAAGGTGTAAGACCAAGAAGGGTTTTGTGCAGCAATTAAGGAGCTAGTAGAGGGCAATGGCACCACAGCACCAGAGAAGAGGCATCCTCAGGAGCACGGAGAAAGCAACGGAGGTTTGTTCTCCAGCCCTGTTTGTTCCCCAGGTCTGTCATGTGCAAAGAGCTGTTCTGCTAAACACTGCTTAGGATGGGAAACCCTAGCAAACAAGTCTCTGATTTAATTTGTCCAAGGAGAAAAAAATCCACACATTTTAATCTCAGGTGCCTTTTTAGTCATCTGGGATTCTTCATGTTGACTACCAGACTTGGTCATTGGACAAACAGCCAGTCCTGGAACTAATACTCAAAAATTCATGTCTTTAACTGCATAGCACATACTTAATAGCTGAGCCAATAAATAAATAAATAAATAAATAAATAAATAAATAAATAAATAAAAATGAAATAGCAACTCAGAATAACATCTCCCAGAATAACTTATCTTAGTCCCACCCTGAAATGAATCTTCAATTATTACTTCAGATGCAAAAGATTTTTGCAGTTGTTCTTAGAAACAAGCTATTTCGATATAAAAATATCCAAATGATCATGTACTCATGAAATTTTAAAATCTACTTTAAGCTTTGCCTTCTGTATGACTTTCATAAACTGTTAAATGATAGAAAGTCTGGTTTGGTCCTAAAAATTTACCTTGCCATTTCCATGAAAATTAAAAAGATTTTCCTAAAGGCTTTCCTAATGGCAGATTAAAAAAAAAAAAAAAAAGACATATGCTTCAGTTCTAACGTAAGGAAGTAGGCAATTAAAAGAAGATTTTTTCCTTTTTGTTTTTTGAGACAGGGTCTCACTAGATAGTTGAGACTGACCTGGAACTCACTATGTAGCCCAGGCTGGTCTCGATTTCACAGCGATCCTCCTGCCTCAGCCTCCCAAGTGCTGGGATTACAGGTGTGCGCCACCACACCCAGCAAGAGACGAATATTTTAAGAATCCCTGTAGTCCCAAAATTCATGTTCTCCTGACCCCCACCAATCATCCCCTCTGGAAGGTTCTTCTTGAATCACTTACCAGCTTCCTAGTCAAATCAGAAGTCCTACTCTTCCAAAACTCCTTTTCCTTACTAATAAAGGACAATAGGGTTGTTGTGCAAGTTAAGTGAGATGATCAGACAAGTGCTGTGTACAACAGCCTTAATTTTTTATTAGCAGGTGACTAGATGATTAAACCAGCCATTTCCAAATAGCTAAAGTAGAGTTATTTTCCAAATCCCATACCTCAACTATATTTCCTTATGCATACCTTTGGCCCAGCCTATTCTTTCAGATAATATCCCAAAATAGATGATCTGCACAGATGATGTAAATAGGGCAGGAGCATCTGGTTTATTCTATACATTTTTTCGGAGAAAACACCTTAGGGATAGAAAATGAGAAATACATTCTTGTAGTCAGTCACAACCTTATCAAGAACTGAATGGGAGACAGGGAAAAAATGAAGTTAAGGAAGCTTCCGAATTTGATTTCTGAGGGATTTTTCTGATGATGATGGTTCTCTGAGGGGAGGATTTTGGACACTAGACTTTCCCCAAGAATCGCCATCACATGACTACTGATCACGCAGTTTAGCTACCCAAACATTAAGCAAGTTGTGCCAAAGAGGTTTGAGACGTTTTAATGTGTATAAACTTTTCAAATCTTGTATAATAAATGAGAGAGGAGGGCTCCTCAGCAGCAAGATGAGGACCAGCTCCCAGCTGGAAGGTGGTCCTGGAGCTTCGGCGCCAGCAGGGAGTTCCGTCGCAACTCCACATCTAAACCCCTCAGCGCTGTTCGCTGTTCTCTTTGAGCGCGAAGAAATACCGCTTTCCTACTTGATTTTAGAAAGCTAACACTGTTTAAAGTAGAATCCGAAGGGCTGTTCCGCGCGCGGAAGGCTGATTTCCTCAAAGCCCAGGCGTTAAGAGCTCACTGCGCTCTCAGAAGACCCTGCAAGTCCCAGCTGAGAGTCGCGAGGGGGCGACAGGGACCCTATCCTGGCGAGACCTAGAGCAACCGGACCGCGCTCGGGAGGCTCCCGCAGCCGCGGGAAATTAACTTCCTCCAGCGGATCCGATCTGAGAGCCGCTGGAACCGAGCCCGGTTCTCACCCTCCGAGGAACACGCGGAGGGCGCACGCATGCAGCTCCAGCACCTGCAGGGCCGGGACAAAGCGAATAACAGAGAGGAGGAGAAGCGGTTCTCCTGGACGTCTAGTGCGAATGGCAAACTTTCCCCAGCCTCTCTCAAACTCCAAGGAACTTTCCTGTGCCAACCACAGCAAGCGTGCGGGAGCAAGCAGGAGGGCAAACTGAAGTGGGGGAGGGGGGAGATCCCAGCAAACATATCTCCGACAAGGAACACGACACGGGGGACAGGACAAGGAGAGGGATGCTGGGAGACTCGGCCAGGGACACGGGGACAAGAAGTAGGACCCGGTGCCCCCTCGCTCCTCAGCCCCCCAAGAGACTCATCCCGAGCGCTCAGCTCCCACCTTGGCATAACAAAAGCAGATGAGCAGAAGAGGCAGCAGGTAGCCAAAGACGAAAGTGCACACCACGTAGGCCTTCTTGTGGCTCGGGTTGGGCCACTGCTCCCAGCAGAAGGTCTGGTTGCTGACATCCCTGTGGAAGAGGCGCTGGTGGTAGGCCACCGGCGAGGCCATGACGATAGAGAGCGCCCAGATGAAGCCCACGCCCAGGAGCGCGTTGCGGGACACCCGGAGGGAGGAGGAGCGCCGCGAGTGCACGATGGCCACATAGCGGTCCACGGACATCGCAGCCAGGGTGAAGATGCTGACCAGCATGGACACCGTGAAGACGTAGTGGGTGAACTTGCAGATGAAGGCGCCCAGCACCCAGGTGGGCAGCGCGTACACCGTGGCCTGGAAGGGGATGCAGAAGAGCAGGTAGGCCAGGTCGGCGACGCTCAGGTTGAGTATGAACAGGTTGGTGGTGCTGCGCGGCTGGCCGGGCTTGCTGCGAGCCAGCACTGTGATCACCAGGCTGTTGCCCAGCATGCCCAAGACGAAGATCAAAGCAAACACCACCAGAGTGATGAAGTTATCCACACCGATGCCAAACAGCAGCCAGGGCTCAGCAGCGAGGGGGTTTGGTCCGCTCCCGTTCCCCACGCTGAGGTTCGCGGCCGCCAGCTCCATCACCAAACGGGCACCCTGGCGCAGGGCAGCAGAGCGCGCTGGAGGAGTGTCTGTGCGGTATCTGTCCCAGATGGGTGGGCAAGTCCGGGCCTAACGGCTGGGCTTGGAACCCGTGTCCGGCGCCTCTGTCTTTCTGCCAGGCCTTGCCGAAAGGATTCCGCGAGGCAAACCCGCAGCTGGGCTTTCCTGGCGAGGGCACCGGTCGCCTGTGCACTGAAGTCCCTCCTAGACGCCTTTAACTGCTGTGTGGTCACAAAGCTCAGGGACTAGCTGGCTGCCGCCCAAAGGATGGACAGAGCCCTTCCTGCTCCTTACTCTGGCCTTACCTGTTGCTCCCGGCCTCACTTAGCCGCCGCGCTCCCAGGCACTGCGCGGCGCTCAGCAGCGCGCTCCCCGCGGCTGCAGAGGGTTCGCCCCGCTTCACGCGCGCGCCACCTCCCAGACGCGCAGCGCCAACTCCCTCCCAGTTTCTCCTAACGTGCAGAGTGGACGCTCTCGCTCTCTGTGCTTCCTGGTAGTGGGCAGAGCCTGGAGTTCCACACCTCTGCTTCTTCAGAGAGATAGCGAAGACTTAACCCCCTCAAATCTGCGCCCCCTGTGGGCCTCTGGGATGCCCCCCCGGAAGTCACAGTGCGCAAGCAGAGGCTGGACCTTCCTAGACCTACGGATCGCCGCACACCTCCAGTCGGGGATCGGTGCGCAGAGCTGCCTAGGTGCAGACCCGAGGGAGTGGGGAAGGCTGCGGCTGGGGAGCCACAGGGCAGCTAAAGGGTAGGCGAAGGAGCGCGCAGCTTGGCTCTCTAACAGCACAGGGCTTTGTATACTTTAATGTTCTTCTGGAGTAGCTGTCGGCGCCAGCGCTTCCAGCCCTGAGAATAAATCCTGGGAAATAAAGGATTAACGCCGCTACCTGGAGTTTCCTAAAATTCTCGGTCTAATCCCAGCCTCATCCCTTCAAATACTAGGAAGGAGATGAACAAGAAAGAAAAACGAACAGCCCGAATTTTCCTTATAAACGTGTATAAGAAATAAGCTGGGAATAGTGGATTCAGCTCTCCCGGAGGCTGAGACAGGTAGATGGCAGGTTCCAATCCAACCTGGACAATTTGGACTAAGGGAGACCTCGTCTCAAAAAGCAAGGAGAGGCTGGAATGTAGCTTGTTGCTAAGGCCCTGGGTTCAACCCCTGCGGGGGCGGGGGCGGGGGGGA